AAATCGACACAGTCTTATAATATTTGTCATACAGTGAGGTTAAAGATAACAATTTTACGAAGTTTATACTTATTTTATAATACGTCTAACCCAAAAAATATTCTTCGACGAATATAATGTTTTATTTAGAATTTCAATTTTTCTAGTTGAGAGGACCACTACAAGATTTTTGGATATTTTATAAAAAAAAAATAAATAGGTTTTAACTATAAAATCCTTTTTACGAAAAGTTAAAAGGATTACTGCAAAAAAGAGACATTTACTTAAATAAAAAAAAAAATGAATTTAAAAAAACTCCTGCACTTTTTTTTACTTAGGTTTACATTACAATAAAGGCTATTTAAAATAAACCACAAGTTTTCAAAACCATAACTGTATTTGATTTAAAATATTTTAGTTTTTTTGAAATGAGATATGTATGACTCTTCATTGTCCAAACTGTTAATTGTTATTAGTTTAAACATTTCTGTTTGGTGTTTTTTTGGAAAACAATAGTTTTCCAATCAATCGTTAACGACAATCCTATTGGTTATTAGTTATTACAATAGTAGATACTTAATCAAACGACAACAATGGCATTACATTGTTTGTTATTGTAACAGCCAAACTTATTTCGTTATTGTTTCCACAATATAATACGTACACTAGCTAAATGATTTATCTAAAAGTTTAAAAATAGAAGAAAAAATATCCAATTCGATTTATTGTCATGGTATTTTTTTCTAATGAATATACAATACCAAATATGTTTGGATTATTATATTCAGATAGAATCGGTCCAAAACCACTCTAATAGCATTAACCTTTACCCTCGGAAAGGATATAAACTTATTTTTCTTTCTCTAGACAAAGTTTTATTATTTTAGATCTAAGGATAAGTTTGAATGTAGAACAAGTATTAACCTAATTACAGTAGGTCGAATGCTTGTATTAAGTACTTGTGACTCAAACTATACAGTAATTTTGTTGATATTAATTGAGTACTGCAAACCATAATAACAATAAAGCATATATATATATATATATATATTGTATTATAATTTTACTGCAGCACATAACATTTTCCAAATACCATTAAACCGGAATTATTTGTTGAGTAAAGTTTCACACCAAATACTAATCACATAATCGCTCGAGTAATGGACGGAGTAAAAATAATGGCATCGTTAATCTTTAAATGCGCTTCACAACTTTTTTAGTACTAAGTGCTTTATTCATTTTTAAGCCGGCGTGTAGTTTGACGGCGGTACGGCAAAGAATTATAATACTTAAAGTTGTGCGATACTATTGGCCGACAGTAGTGGCGTTATTATTATATAAATATATAAGTAAAAAATATAAACATGTATTTCATACATAAAAGTGCCCATAAACGGGTTATTATGTCTAATAAACGACATGGTCGTCGACAGCTCGGGATACAAGTATTTATTTTTGTTACCCTTTGTATTCTGATTTTATGCGTTCAAAACAGAATATAACATTATCGTACTTTCCTGGGAATAACTGTAAGATTTTGAGCACAATATTATTATGAGGAAATTCAATTGATTTAAAAAAATAAAAGCCATCACAGCATGGCCGGTGTGGTAAAAGGTCTTTGGAAAACTATTAAAACTGAAAACGATAATAACGTAAAGTATTTATTGTTGTTTATATTTATCATTTTTTTTTTTCTAAAAACGTTGACTGGTTTGAAATCAAATTTGTTATTAAATAATTTTGATGTTATCTAAAAAAAGGTTAAGTATTTGAAACTAGGACTATTCGAGGGCGCCCACAGGGAGGGGGACACTCGTCCTGGCTTCTATACAAGTTAAAAATGTATGTCCAATATCCCAAACTTGTAAAATCTATTACAAAATCATACGTGGTCCCCCTCGCTGAATTTTCACCTGCGGGCGCCCTTGAGAATATTCCTCATAGCCACTAAAAAAGTTATAGAGTAATTATTTTTTTAATTAAACATTACTTTGAAAACATCTGTATGGAATTGTTGGTCCGTTATTCTACTTAAAATGTAACAAATGACGGGAATTAGATATTTTCTCATCCTTATTATTCGTGTACTTGCGATTGATGCATTTTTTTTTGTGCTATCCTAGTAATATTAAAACTAATGAAATGTATTACCGTTTTTATAAAACATGTCGACTTAGACGACGGAATAAAAATATTTTTATTTCACATAAACCCTCTGACACGTCTCCTATATAAATAATATCTTATAATCCTAGAAGAGCTTTATATTTATTTTTTCCGTAGTACTGTACTAATGGTTAGATATGAGTAATATTTAGCTTATAAAATCATTGTTTTTTTTTTTTTTTTAAAGAAGGAAATATCAATAAAAAATATTATTCGGACTAGGAGCTTAAAACTCACAATAATGGAAGGAAAAACGAGTAGGTAATCCTTTTTTTTCACCAGAAGCAATTTTTTTACAGATTACAAAATGCTTTTACGAACCATAATGAAACAGATGTTATGTTTTTTAACTAAAAATATATTTAATTTTTTCTAATTTAAAATATATTAAACTTTTTTTTGTACTGTTTGTTTTCAAATAACTTTCAACAATTGTTTTATTAGACGAAAATATTTTTAAAAACTTTTCTCGCCTCTTCGGTTGGAAAATATATGGACGAGGTGGTTTTTGAGGGTTTTAAACTTTGGGAAACTACAAAAACGTCATACAAATTTAGATTAGATATATATTCAATTTTATTTTTTTTTTAAGGAAAAAAAAGGTTAACCTTTAACTAAAAATGTCTCGGTCCAGCGGTTATCCAATAAGATTTTACTGTTATGAAAAACCCAATAACATACTTTCTTGTTGCTTATTTTTTTTTTATACGTTCAGGTACACATCGTTATTTTGTATAGTATTATTATGGTATACAATATCTAAACATAATCTAATCTAATCTCAGATTCTAGCTGATGAAATAAAACTATTTTATGGGAATAAACCGCAGATTTGTTAACGTATTTTACTATATTTTATTTAATGCTTTAAAACGTTTTAATATCATACCTATAGTTGGTAGACCAGAATTTAAAAAAGTGCTATCTGATCCATATTACTTTACAAACAAGTAATAACTACATGAACATCATATAAATAATTTTATACGGATTTAACAGCCAACAAATGCATGACCGGTACCATAATTAAAAATACTAAATATTTTATTATTCAGAAAGATCAATGGAATATAAAGTTTGATAAATGAAAAAAAATAATAACTCAGGACGAGAAAAATAAACGTGACCCATTTGGGAAACTTTTAATGTTTGTGAAATGTTGAAGAAACGCTCATTTTCGAAAACGACGATTTTATACTTAATGAGTTTTGTATCCGAAGGTTCGATATAAGTTGTTTTCATATTATTATTACTCAGAAAATGGGAATTCCTTCGTGGACCGACACCGTCACTAAGTTTTTACCGTTGGTGTTTGCTTTCAAGTCAAACACGATTTGTCATCAAACGAGTTGCTGTTGTAATAATACAAAGTTACAAACAATATAATGCAATCACTGTATTTTTGGCGAGATGTTGTGTTCTGAGCTTGTCAAAAAGTTGTCTATTGAAGCAACAATCGACGTACTGCTTAATGTGCAGAACGACTAAACCAAAGTCCTATTGTTAAATATGCAAAAACTATCAAAACAATTATGAATTATTCATTTTAATATGTTTCTTAGATATAATATAAAATTTCAACATCATACGTGTACCTGGACGTTTTGTATTGCTATTTAAAGTTCAGTTATTATAGTTTGGCGGTTATTTTGTTTTCAGAAAATAATATTTCGCTTAGAATTTTTTTTTTACCCTTTGATATTTTTTTCATTCAATTTTTTTATTTAACTAGTAGATAAGTAACGGGAAAAAACGTTTTTTTAAACATATTATTTTTTTCACACTAGTTATGATAATTTTGAATGAAAAATATCAGATATTTCACATGTTATTTTTTTTTTTTTATAAGAGAGCAGTACTAAAATTTGCCAATTTTTATCCACATATCAGTACATAGGTGTTGTAAAAAATAAATAAAATACTAAAAAATTTATAAATTGTTGTCCTATATAATATAATATAAACAAAAACGTTTTCAAAAATAATAATTATAAAATATATAATATAATAACTTTGTTGTATTTTAAAATAACATAAATAAAAGTGATGATATAATAATTGATGATTGCAGTGACACTTAAACGCATCACTATGAATACTTGCTCTACTAAACCTATATATTGATATGTGGATTAAATTTTTTGGCAAATTTTAGTACTACTCTTATATCTGATATTTTTCATTCAAAATTATCATAACTAGTTTGAAAAAAATAATTTTTTTTTCATTTATTTATCTACTAGTTAAATAAAAAAAAACAATTTTAAAAGAGCTTAGGGTAAAAAAATCGTAAGCGAAATATTATTTTCTGAAATCAAAATAACCGCTTAACTGAAAAATCGTACTTTCTAATTTACCTTGTGTACTAATTAATTTTGGTCTGTCGCAATAAAAATTAATATTTTTAAAAACCTGAATACTTGCTCTACAACACCTATGTATTGATATGTGGGTAAAAATTGGCAAATTTTAGTACTACTCTTTTAAAAAAAAATAAAACATGTAAAATATCTGATATTTTTTATTCAGATCCTAATTAGTTTGAAAAAAAAGTAATGTTTTCCTTTACTTATCTAATAGTTATATAAAAAAATTAAATTAAAATAAAAAACAATTTTTAAAGAGCAAAGGGTAAAAAGAAATTGTAAACGAAATATTATTTTCTGAAATCAAAATAACCGGCAAACTATAATAACTGACCTTTAAATAGCAATAAAAAACGTCCGGGTACACATATGATGTTGAAATTTTATATGTCTAGAAACATGTTAAATTGATAATTCATAATTGTTTTGATAGTTTTTGCACATTTTATAATAGGACTTATGAGCGCAATAATATAGGACACTTACCGTGTTTGTACTGTACGTTGCGTTCGATGACCGACTCGGCCGTCTTGCGGGCTATGTAAAACCACTCGCTGGTGTTGGTCAGGTACTTGTATTCGACGGCCAAGTCTTTGGCGAGTATGCCCTCGCCCCTGGGTAGCCGGTACGCGTACGGGCAGAACAGCTGGTAGTCCTTGTACTGGTGTTGGTCGTAACAGTTGCCGGCCGCGAAAATGTCATCGTCGAACTCCACCATCGAGATGACACCCGCGTGCAGCAGGTACTCCGAGGCCATTACATCCGGGTCCGCGTACTTCCACAGTCTGGTCAACATGTTGGCTCGGTTCACGGCCACGTCGGCTTCGACTCTGAATCGTTCCTGTCAAACACGGAATATACAATATCGTTATGAGGAAATTCGATTGATTTAAAAAAAATAAAAGCCATCACAGCATGGCCGGTGTGGTAAAAGGTCTTTGGAAAACTATTAAAACTGAAAACGATAATAACGTAAAGTATTTATTGTTGTTTATATTTATCATTTTTTTTTTTTTCTAAAAACGTTGACTGGTTTGAAATCAAATTTGTTATTAAACAATTTTGATGTTATCTAAAAAAAGGTTAAGTATTTGAAACTAGGACTATTCGAGGGCGCCCACGGGGAGGGGGACACTCGTCCTGGCTTCTATACAAGTTAAAAATGTATGTCCAATATCCCAAACTTGTAAAATCTATTACAAAATCATACGTGGTCCCCCTCGCTGAATTTTCACCTGCGGGCGCCCTTGAGAATATTCCTCATTGCCACTAAAAAAGTTATAGAGTAATTATTTTTTTAATTAAACATTACTTTGAAAACATCTGTATGGAATTGTTGGTCCGTTATTCTACTTAAAATGTAACAAATGACGGGAATTAGATATTTTCTCATCCTTATTATTCGTGTACTTGCGATTGATGCATTTTTTTTTTGTGCTATCCTAGTAATATTAAAACTAATGAAATGTATTACCGTTTTTATAAAACATGTCGACTTAGACGACGGAATAAAAATATTTTTATTTCACATAAACCCTCTGACACGTCTCCTATATAAATAATATCTTATAATCCTAGAAGATCTTTATATTTATTTTTTTCCGTAGTACTGTACTAATGGTTAGATATGAGTAATATTTAGCTTATAAAATCATTGTTTTTTTTTTTTTTTAAAGAAGGAAATATCAATAAAAAATATTATTCGGACTAGGAGCTTAAAACTCACAATAATGGAAGGAAAAACGAGTAGGTAATCCTTTTTTTTCACCAGAAGCAATTTTTTTACAGATTACAAAATGCTTTTACGAACCATAATGAAACAGATGTTATGTTTTTTAACTAAAAATATATTTAATTTTTTCTAATTTAAAATATATTAAACTTTTTTTTGTACTGTTTGTTTTCAAATAACTTTCAACAATTGTTTTATTAGACGAAAATATTTTTAAAAACTTTTCTCGCCTCTTCGGTTGGAAAATATATGGATGAGGTGGTTTTTGGTAGTCGGTTCACGGCGACGTCGGCTTCAACTCTGAATCGTTCCTGTAAACCACGAACCATCGTCCAATAAAAGAAATATATTTTAACGTTCTTAATATATTTTGTAATCGGGGAAAAGGAATTTCCATTTTAATACACTCAACGTGCACAAAAAATGTCTCAAGTATATTACATGAAGTTATTTTCAAACTTTAATTTATAAAATGAGTCGAGTAAACTTTTCAAAGACTAAACAATTTCTTTAGCCGAAAACATTTATATACAACCATTTCTCCGTATCATTTCGTTTGTTATTTTAAAGTTTTTATTATTGACGTTTAGTCGTCTAAACTTAGAAAGACATTATTAGTTCCGTGAAAATAACATTAGCGCGGTTCTCCAGAAGGGGTGGAAACTTTTTTATTTATTTACAAATTTTTTACCAGCAAATAAAAACAAAATATTGTTAACGGCCACAAAGCGAGCGTCAAATGTATTTCACTTAACGTTAATACAATATGACTTACTCGGAATGGATCAATTTGCATCATTGTGACTATAAAGTAAACCTAAGTATATAAAATTACCGAGTTCAGTGAAAATAATAAATAAGATGTTTCCCTGTAATTGGCCATTGTACCAATGAACGGGTTAAAAACAAATGAGTTACATTAAATGTGTATAAATGTATATATCGAATTTCAGGAAAAACTATAATAAGCTTAATTTTGAGTCAAGAAAGACACGGTGAGAGGTGGGGCGTGGAAGTGTTGGTGATAAGAGGAAATCGATAATTCCTTAATAACTAAAAAGTTATGAATAATAAGACATCCAATGTCTTTTCTTCTAGAGAATTTTTGTTTGTAGACGCATTTGTATGTTTAACAATTTTTTGAATTTGGAATTAAATTATGCTTGGGTTTGCAAGTAATTCAGCAAACCTGCCACTGCTAACTTTGGATAACTGACTTTTCGACTAGCTGGTCTTTTTAAACTTTGTCTTTTTAGTATGACAAACAGTGATGTAATATTAGCGTTAATTTTTGTACGTACAAATCGATCAATATGTTATTTTATTTAATAGCTTTAAGTTAATTGGAAAAGGCTGGTTTCTTTTTTTTTTTGGGTCGAGGATTTTATTTATGATGGTGTTGATTTGAAGACCTTATGGGGTTGTATTTTGACATTTTTCATGTGTTTTTATCAGAGTTGAAGGGTGTGTGCGAACAGAACGGTAGCAAATGCGTTTGTACAGCTCCAGAAAATGATTTATAATCTTTTGATTACACGAGAGAAATGTAGGCGCAATGAAATGACATATTTTCCAGGAAGAAGCGACGTGCCGACCAAATAGTATACCTAAGGAATGGAATAGTTCTCAAGGGGTTTCCGAAAAGTTAACCGAATTTTTCCTTTGATATTTGGCCCGACACAACGTTTCTGACCTATTACTACAAAATATTTACAAACAAAGCAACTGTCCAGTTGGAATGTTTTCTGGTTAGGTTAATTAACTATTCTGACGGTGTTCTCTTGCCGTAATACCAATTAGTATAAAAGTGCTCGCCTTAAAAGAAATATTTTTGAAAATATTTGTACATGACCGGGATAGATAAAAGTGGCGTTTGAGTCTTAGCATGAACTATATTTTAAAGTAGCTGTAGAGGTATCAAAGTGGTGTCAGGGTTGATGTAATTTTTTTTTTTTATAGCCGATAGCAATGAAATTTGTATTTTTGTTTTTCGTTTTAATGTATTTTCAAAACGGTGTCAAACATGTGTTGAGTATTTTTTTGTTGTTGCAAAGGTGTTGCTTTTCCATGAAATTGAAAGTTTCAAACATATTATTTTTACAAAATATAAATAAAAATCTATTTACATATGCAAATATTTTCAAAACGTTTAATCCATTAACTTTTAAAATATATAACTTTGTGACAAAACATAATTTAACTTCTTTTGAAAAAAACATTGAAAATTATTTTTTGTTTATGGAGCTAATTATACCTAATGAAGTCTAAACGGTTAAATAGCATATTACTTCTGATTGCCTCACTACTTACACCGGTTTCCTCTTTCCATGTCATTTCCCTGCATAGCCGATCCCAGATATTAAAATTTCGCATCACTATTTATTTAACCACATAAACTCTTAAGTAATCTCTTTTAAACCGGATTATACTCAGACCATTTCACTCTAACATTGTCCTAATTTATTTGACTCCTATAAATTTTACTCCTGTACAGCGGTCTGTTGTATTTTAAAACTTCAAATGGAGTACATAAAAAGATATTATTATTTCAAAGGTATTTCAACAATGGTTATACATTTATATTTGTTTGTTTTGATTTATAAATTATAAACATTTAATTTTGTATGTAGTGTGTGTACAATTTGTATTAAACAAAACTGTTATGTACTTAAATTAAATAAATACTAATTTTTGTTTCACAATTTGATTTGAGTTTTCTGTTTGAAATATACTTAATAATAAAGTTCTTACGCATTTATTGAACATAGATTATGGTAATTTGGATAATGCATTGTGTATGAAACGTTTGTACAACAGTTGTTACTTAAGTAGTGTCTGCTGTAATTAATACTAAAGTTGTTTCACCCAAATGTAAAATGTCATCAAACTTTTATAAAATATTAAAAAAGAATGAATTTTATTAAATTTCAGAAGACTGGGTAATAATAAATTGAAACGCACATTTTGTTATTGTATTATACGTATATCATTAAAATCAATAAGAATAAAACCGTTGGCAAAAAAAAATATATAATTTATGTAAAAAGAGTATAAAGGATTAAAGGGTAAAAACACATTGTTTCATCTGAAAATACATTATGAAAAAAAATTTACATATTTTCCATTTATAGCAGAAAAACTGGTCATTAAAATATAACGAACCGTTATTTGATGTTTGAATATAAAACTAAATTAAAAAAAAATTCATCGAGCTTTTTCGATTCAACTCGAATGTATTATAATAACTTAATTGGCTATGTGTATACCAGAAATATGTATATGTGTATCAGATAACCTTTTTGTTAATTATCTACTGCAGTAGTAGGGTTCTTCAAACAAAACGCTCAAAACTAATTCTTTTTTTTACACATATATATTTATTGTAAAATGGCTATTATTTACAGATTGTAAAACTCAAATTTTCCTTTAAGCAAACTAACACAAATTTTACCTCTATTTTCTGGAAACATTTACCATAGAGTATATTATTATTATGCCGCGCTATAAACAATCCCGGAAAAGTCTAAACGAGACAGAAAAGTTTGTCAAGAATATTATGTGTTCACTGTGGAATCCCTTGGGAAATGCGACACACCCCTGTTGCCATTGTCTTCCCACCGTTCGGTCTTAATATATAATTGCATTTTACCTTGTTAAACCTCTCTTAATGATTCTTTAAAATCTGATAAATCTCTTAACAATACATTATTCCTTATTAACAGCTCCCGCATTAATAATACATCATTGCGTATCATCTGGTACTCTATTATTAATGATTTTTCACTTTAGAGCCGATCATATTTTATCAACCAAACCACCTCTCTTGTCATTTGATCCATCCTTTCATGTAAATTATTCACTGCAGTTTTTTCTATGTTTCATGTTATAAACTTTGACTAATATATAAATGTTCTCGCCAGGTAAATAATTACGATTTTAAGTAATGTAATTGACGGTATACTTAACTTAGCTCAATACAATATAACGTCACAACTTTATAGTGCTAAAAGAAGTTTTTTTTTTACACAGAACAAAGTGGAGGGTTTTTGTTGTAATTGAATTTTTCCGTAAAGTTGCGAAATTAATGCTGTTACAAAAATATATTTTAT